CCAAAAGATAAACATAGAATATTTGAAACAAATATGTAAAACAAACAAGCCACAAATATTATTTGAAACATACCTTCATAGACCTCAAACTCGCATACTTGAAGAAATTCTTTCCTGTTCAAAAACACACTCACATAGCGACCCATCATCAGCTTTGGACAATAAAAAGTTTTTATCTCGCCGCCAGCCAATTTTCCACCGTTTACACAAAGCGCATTGTGTCTTCCGCCGTTTGAACTATCTTTCCCAACACTAACATTGAATGGGTTTATATCAAGTGTAGGCCAGTCTACAGAATTCGTTATCCGAACATGTGTAACAGCGGCTACCTTTTTAAGATCCACTTGCCACCAGGGTTGCTCTTCATAACTGGTGAAACTACATCTCTGCCAGTCTGCCGTTCTGTCACCATCATTTCCAAAGCTTGCAACAAGTTCTATTCCGCCATATTTATGGGTTGATGAATGGGAAGATGGCTTCTTATAGGCGATATTCTTTGCTGCGGCTGGAAGATAATTTACAGAAAGAAATTGTAATAAAAACTCTTCTGATACAAAATGCTAAACAAGGCCTTTGTACCCGAAAAGCAATGTAGTTACTATTGTATTTACCAATGCATTTATACCCTGGGCAGTAGCAAGTGTCAATGCATTTATGTCCGGCGCTGCAAGGATCATTTGCTTGGCAATACTGACCAACCTGCAATGTAAAATGATCAATTGTCTTATCACATCATATCACGAGTGCTATATTAGTCATGAAATTTACTAGAGTAATGGCTCTTGCTCTTTAAGGCCATGTTCTTTGCATAGCTAAAAATTCAAAGATTGAAAACTGTGTTTGAGGTGATTGTAAACCAATTTTTAGAATTTTTGTATTTTAACCAGATAACATAAAAGATCACCATGAAATACTTTCAAGTATGGAAAATTGGCCAAATATGTCAAAAATCGGTTGAGATACGGCCAATGAAAGATTTGAAGTTTGCTAACGAATCACTGTTATCTTCGCTCGTTCATAAAGTTATGAACAGAGACCGAGATACAGCATTTGATTGGGCAAGAACAATGCACATGTGGCCATGTCTCTGCTAATTTGTAACAAAATTGTCCGATTTTGCACATTTAGAGGCATTACACAATGGTCCTTAAGAAAATGGGATCCAAATTCAAAAAATTCTAAAAATATATTTTTGTTATGTCATCACTTTACAACTCTATTCAACTGACTTCGATATGCGCACATTCCGCAATTTTCAGTCATCAAATTAGTTTTTAAATTTATGAATGAAGTTGAATTTCAAATAGCTATTTCAATAGAAAGCTTACATTTTTCTCTTCAAAACGGGTTGAATAATATGTCCAACCCTCCTTTTCCTGTGTTTCAATAAAATCTTTGGGATCCTGTGCTGATTTGTTATTCAACTGGCAAATACCCAGCTCTTTGTTTAAATTGATCGACTTGCATCGATGCTCCATGATGCATTCAACCTTACACAACTCAATCAATCAATCAATCAATCAAAAACTTTATTAATGTGTCAAAAAATATTTAGCTTACAAGCTAATTGGGGACTATTTAGCCAACTGCTCATCCAAGTCGTTCAAAGAACGAAATGTAGAACTTAGTGCGTGATCATGAAGCACAGCAGTAAAATTGGCGAAGATCTTGCATCGCAGACGAAGTATTTCTCCATCTATATTTACAGAAATCACCAGCAGCAACAGTCTGGAAAAATATTAGTACTGAATCAAGGCTTACTTTTTACTAGCCGTTTTCTACAAAAGCAAATAAAAAGTCTCTTTGTCCATTAAAGATAGAAACATAAAGTGGCGCATCAAACCTAGCAACAATGGTTTTTTATAAGTATAACAAAATCTCGATGATAAAATTTCACGAATCAAAAGAAAGCTTACAGCAATTATTTATAAAAATCATCTTTGATAGAACTCTTTGTCACAAGAAAACTCTTCCATTAGAATGCTGAGCTACTTTTAATCACCCGGAGGAAAGTTTGAGCGTCCGGAAGTAGTCTAAAATGTTTTTTGTCTTTACAAGCAAAACTTTAATAAAACTGTTACACTTTCAAGACAACATATTCTCTTAAGGCTAAAAGAGTTGTAGATCTACTTCAAGAAAACCTTTCCTATAAGCTAAAACTTTATGTAAGATAATGTCAGAAAGAATGAGACAGTAATCATTGTCATAATTCATCCTTGAAAAACAAAATTAAAGTTGGCAAGTAAGTAAATAAAAGGGAAAGAAAGAAATACAATATCTAAAACAAGCAAATGGAACAATGCCGAGAATCAAGAAAAAGACAAACACGTAAAATGAGTTGACATTTGTGGATGAACAGATAGAGAAACATATAATATAACATTTCAAAATGAAGACATACATTTGAAAATGCATCTTCTTTGATCGGGAAACCAGACAACTCTGTCTTTTTACTTTATACTGGAAGAATGCAGCTCACTTCTTACAAACTTTCAACACACTTTGCACTGACCATCAAGTGATTCTAAAATTGCCATAAATTGTAATTGGAATCTGTTTTTAAGTTTGCCAACATCGGAAATTATCAATAAATTTGAAAACTTGCATTTGTTTATGATCTTCATACAATCACGCAGACACTGTTGTTATTAAAGATTTTTTAGATGCAATTCCTTAATATTTTTGCCGAAAGATAATTACATAATCAACCTGCAGAAATTCTTGTTGCTTAGAATGGTAAGAAAATAATAATACAAACATACATTATAATAAGAGTTTTGCTTTAGTAACTCGAAGGATCTGTTGTTATTTAAGATTCTAATTGCGTCGAATCAATTGCTGCAAGTCGATTGATTTATTAAATTGCGCAAATTTCAATTTCTAAAGAAGTTTAGATAGATAAGTGCTTTTGGATTCAAAAAAGTCCATTTCTTCATGATCTTTTATCAACAGTTGATGATGAATATTTTTGTATTGAAATGCATTGATCAATATTAAATTTTCTATTGTTTATCTAATTAAAATAAGAAAATATTTAAAGTTTTTTCAAAAACCTAAGGATTTATCGGTCTGTCAAATAATCATACTATCAGATATTTAGAATAAATTTTATTAAATCATTTATTAAAATGTTATTCCTTTATTAACCTTCGGATTTTTTTTTGTTTAAATTGTAAAAAAAAGGTTTAAGAGATGTCAAATTTTTAGATCTAATTTAAAGAATATTGTAGTGATAGGATTTAGGTTCAAGGGGATAGCCAATGAGAAAAATAGAATTCACTCTTTGTACCAAACCAATATCCCCTGGGAGTTTTAAATTACATATCAACCAAAACTTTTCTCATCTTGCATACAAACTTTTGCACGTTTCTTCTCTATATTTCTTTTAATATTAAATCCAACAGAAAAATTTCAGGATTTCATGTACTCTAAAAGAAATTATTCAAGTGAGCAAACAAATAGCTTAACTAGTAGACCATGAAAGGGAAAATGTGCCCACCCTTTTCTGTTTATTAGAAAAGCTTACTGGCTTTATGTCTCATGTTTCCAAAACAAATTTTAGGGTAGACACATTTGGAAGCCAAATTAGCGAACATCGAAAATGTGTACAATTTTTTCTGGCGGGATGTTGATAGGGGCAAGTATACTTCTCAATGCTTCCATTTCCCTTTTTTCAGCACTGCACTCTTTCAAAAGGTCTCTTCGCATATCGTAAGGCCGTATTGTATACAGTTAGGTAGAATTTAGCAACCTCTGCCAGCTTTGAAACTTTTCCATAAAGGTGTTCCGTGCCTATCGCTGATAATTTGAGTTTAAAAGAAAATCTTTGCTAGATATATCTTGCAGTTGTTTAGGTAATATGGGATTGCATTCATTAGCAATGGACAAATTAAAGAATACGAAGGAGTTGCATTAATTATGCAGGAGGAATAATTCAATTGTCTAGCTTAACAAACAAGGAAATCCCTCAACAAATGATTTAAAGCCTAAATGGCACTTTATTTTTAGATTCACATCTTTTCTTTGCGCAAATAAATCAACATATTGAGGTGAAAAGTATTGCTGAGTTTGACAGAAACAAAGACAGTTGTAGAAAAAATCCAACAATTTGAAAGTAAGTTTTTGTTTATTTGTTAGTCTAATGTTCCCCATTCCGACTATTCCGAATTTGAGCAATACAAACATCCCTTTTCCGGTTAATCGGTAATCAAAATCTTACCCTTTTGTCTGTGCTTCCCCATCCCTTTCCATTGACTTAAAATCATTTCATTTATTTTCGCAGAGTTTACTTCAAATGGGCTTATTAGGTTCACATTTTACGAGCAAGCAATTTTCAGCTTAGATCATTTCGAGCTCTGCAACAAAACGTCGCATGAGTAATAGCAAAGAACTTTGCTGACTGGACAGGACCAGGGGGGGGGGAGATGAGGCCTTGTTAAAGAACTTTTTGTAATTTAATATCCTCAAGGGTCAACAAAAATGCCAAACAATGCCAACTGCTCTGCAAAAACCTACAAGTTTGGGCTTAGTTCCTAGCTTAGAAACAAGGTACCAACAAATGGTAAACGCTCAAGTCTCATCTGCTTATATAAGAAAGTCACGACCTACAAAATTTTCCCCTGAATTTTTATGCGCTAAGTATCAACACAGGTCTCCCCTTTCGATCAACCTTTAAAACGTTGGAGATCCTTTAAATCCTTTATAAATTAAATTTGGAAATCTACAATGCTGCATTTAGTTTTTCAAAGGTTTAATTTGAAATAAAAAGTTATTGATAGAAATATGTAAGATTTTTGAATAAGACTACATTTTCACAGCATTTTTATATGATTTAAAAAGATGTTGATTATATTTTTTCACAATAAAAGTTAGTATCAATTTAACTTGTTTTCTAGGAAATATTTCAATCCGTCTATTGTCCAAATGGGACTTTTCATGCTCGCAACGTTGCTTCTCAATATTTTCTGCTATGCTTCAATAAAGTCAGATGAGTGTCAAAGTACAAGCAAATCTGCTTTCGAAGAAGTGCACAACCCAACTCAGATAACGACAAGCACGTTGCATAAGGCCTTGCATCAATGCAGCATGGATTACACATGCAATTACATTGTTAAGGATGTTAAGAGCCACACTTATAATAGATTTAAAGATGAGCAAGAGATCCCGGCTGAAAGATCGAACTTTGTTATATGGTCAAAGAAACAAGCAACAAGAGGTATGAGTTGTTATTTCCAAAGCCATGTAATCAGCAGCTCTAGTTAGTAATCAATAACTGGTTAATAAATCCTTTTATGCGTGTAGAAAAGATCTGTTGTAATTATGAAAGAAGTGCTTTATTTTTGTATTCAGTCAGAAATCTTGAATTCATCGAGGCTTAGTTTTGTTTCCCTTCTAGGGGAATAACATAGGTAACCAACCAAGCTATCACGTTGCAACTTCATCCTTCTATTATCGTGTTGCAGCCTAAAAGTATACTGGAATTTGATGTAATATTTTAGATGAATAGAAAAATGTAATATTCTGCAAGATGTCTTTATACGAATAGAATGCAATATGATATTTTGATAATTTAGGAACTTATTGCCTGCCTCTTTATGGCAATTCAATTTAAGGAAACTGGTTTTTGAGATTGCGATGAAATTATTTTGCTTTGACTTAAATTTCAGGCGTTCCAGGGAATATCGCTTATAAGAAACCGTCCTCGCATTCATCCGCTAATGAATATGGTGGAATTACATTTGTTGCCAGCTTTGGAAATGACGGTGACAGAACTGGAGACTGGCAGCGATGCAGTATCACCAAAAAAGACATGGCACCCTGGTGGCAAGTGGACCTGACAAGGCAAGCTGCGGTCGCAAGTGTCCAAATAAGAAATGGCGCAGCTTGGGATCCTCACAGAATCAATCCATTCGATGTCAGTGTTGGGGATGATAGATCAAGTGGCGGACGAAACAATGCGCTTTGCGTGAAAGATGGAAGGTTGGCAAGTGGTGAATTGAAAAAGTTCGATTGTCCAAGGCCTTTGCTTGGTCGGTATGTGACTGTGTTCTTGAACAGGCAAGAATATCTTCAAGTATGTGAGCTTGAGGTTTACGAATTTCAAACAGAATGGTTCGTATAAAGCATCGTTTAATGTTTTTTCATGTTCGATATTGATTGTTCTATATGTTCTGTAAACAGTCTGTAACAATAGCTTAATATACCTTAATTGTAATGAGAAGGCTATTCAGCTCAACTTTTACTTTCTCTGGATGTCGCTGACTTAATTTCGCTTATGTAACATTGGTTGTTGAATTATCTCCTAAAGTCCTGCTAACACAGAAGTGAATCCGAAAGAGCAAAGAGTTTTTCTTGATATTGCACGACTTTCTGAAATGATTTGTCTGAAACTGCATAGGATTTTATCTAGATACGCTTATTTTATAGATTGTTGTTGTAGCTGACCCGAATAAAACCTGATCTATTGGGGCCAGTTTAAGTACGACCCACTCTTCTTCTAGCTGGAAAGCATTTGTTGCATCTGGATTCATTAAATTTGCAACGTGTAATACCAAACAAATCCGGTCTCATGCCTGTAGCCCCAAAGGCCAGTCGGTCTCATGCCTAGTAGAAAAGGATAATCCACTTAATGAATGAATTGGTGTATAGAACAGGACTATTCAATGAATGAACATCTCATTTCTGATAAACTGAGTATATTCCAGTTCAGTCTGCTCATTTCGTTTCTTAGTATTTCGATCTTTCCAAATCCATTCACTGTTCTCACATTCCATGTTCCTATGATGATTTCTGTTCCTATGAGGTTAATACCGCGGTCTGCAGTAGCTAACTTATCGCCTCCGCCCTGAAGACAATCTACGGAAAACTCGATCGTTTTTATCCTGGGCCTCGATCGATCCAGTATGGAATTCTGGTTTGTCTTGTTCATGGGTGAATCAGTAGGCATGTAGTTCAGCGGCGCACATCTCCTCTCCCAGTATAGATGGCTGTTGACTCAAAGAGTTCATCCGCATTTTAACACATCTTTTTTGTTCCGCTTGAATGGTGTTCACGCACCCTCCTCCCCCAAAAAGGGTTGGGATGCCAGTTTGGTCGCCGGCATCTCGATCATGTAGACAGGTAATACTGGATGGCATGACCACCATTAGCAAGTCTCGCGACCTAACCTTACAGATATATATACACTTGTGTAATTTATTTTTGTTTAAAATGAATCTTTATAGATACATTTTGCAACTATAAAGATTTTTAGTTTTTCAGCTTGATGCAATATGAGTACAAATATTTGTATAACTATATTAAGAACGGATTACATATAATACTTTAACGAAAGCAGCTATGTCGTATCATTGTGTTCACTCTATGTCATGAGGTAGAGAAAAAAGAAAAGAGACGTAGTTTAAATCTAAACTAGGCTCTAATCAACACATATCCACTAGTAATAAAAAACCAACAACCACGCTTCAATGCGCTATTCAGTTTGAACTCAATAGCGATGTGTTCTTTATTGAATGTCAACACAATACATGCAAATATTTTTAAGGAAGGTGTATCGAAGTGAGCATCCAAACTATCTAGTTTCACTCACAACTCTACAAATTCATGCGTTGAGACAGGTGTGGAGCATTTAACTGCAGCCTAG